GAAAGAGTCGAGTCGAAGGCTGGAGGGCGGTGAAATTACGGGGAACGAAGACGATGGAAGAAAAGGGAAGAAAGAAAATAACAGAAATGAAAGAACGGAAAGATCCCCCTGTCGATCTCCACGGTATCCCGTGGTCACCCTGTGTGCGAATCCGGGGAATCGGTCTTTCTCCTGGTGGTCACGGAGCCGGCCAGAGGGACAGAGAGAAATATGAAATATAAATAAAACATATTCTTACTAGCAGCAAGTGCAATAAAAATGCGGGGAGATCAAGAGGGATGCCGGAGGAATACGTAATGTGCTCTCTTCTCTGCTCTCCGTCTCCCTGCTCTCTATCTCGTATCTCTTTCACCGTTCCCCTATATACTCCCTTGCTGGCTCCCTCCCCTTTATGTTCCCGGCTGCCAAACGTTCGATGGAAAATCGAAACGGGAGTAATTTTCGGCTGTTACCTACCGAGTATTCGAGGATTCCCTGGCAGAATTTTCGGCAAATTTGCGAGTCTATGTATAAATGTATCTTGCAACGAGTTCGAGGTTTTCCCGAACCCGATGTTCGAGTAACATGACTTTCCGTCATAATACGCGCAATTCTACGTTGTTGCAATGACAACCTGGCCCAGCTACAACCACCGTGGAATATTTCTCAGCCGGCCAGGTCCTCACGTGCAAGAGACTGAGGCGAAGGATAACTGGAGGAGCGAAGGGGGACCAGGAGGGGCACGGGAGAAAAGAAACAATTCCATAAACGACGTAACGCTCGAAACGAGCGAGTATTCCCGGCAGCATCTTCGTCACTGAGGGAAAGCACGCGGCAAACAAGCCAATAAAGCGAATAAACGGTCGTCGGGACTTAATTAAGGAATGGCGACTGCATCCACGCCAACGGTGCCTTCATTTCGTCCGGCAGCTTTATCGCCGGTGCTTATCTATCGGCCATGAGATAAGATAAAAGGGTCAGAGTTCAGGGGGACAGGCGTAGATAGCCACCCTCTCCTCCTGCTCGAGTACGAAACTTTCGGGGTTGGAGGACACCATATGCGACCTCCTTCGTCCGCTGGAACGGTCCTGCTCTCTTCTATCTTCCTTTCCACTGTTCTCCCTTTTACCGTCGGCGAGAGAGACTTTTCCTCTTTGTTTCCACGGGACGACGGGGCTGGAGGGTCGAATCGAGCACGTCGTGTCCAGGAGCACGGCTGAAAGTAAAATAAAAGAATCATGCTGGCTGGGGACCGGGAAACTGTCCATGTGCGCCCGTGCCAGCTCCTACGGGATGCATATGTTTTGTCCGGGATTGCATACTTTTCCACCACTTCTTAAAGTCGAAGTCCTGGAACCTCGCTCCTCTGATGTCTCCTTCAATTTTTTCCAGCTCCACGAGAGACAGAGGGGGATGTAAAAGCATCCGCAGTCCATCTGGAGATGCCTGGATTTTGGAAACGCGACATTTTTGGAAACGTCAGCTGAACGGAACCGAAGTTCCAAGCATAAAATTCCGAAATACCGAGTTGCAAAGGAGAGCCCGTTAAAGAGACTTCAGGATAGGGGGTAGCCTCGTACCCAGGGTAGGTATGAGACACGAGTTAAACGACGCGGAGAAGTAAAGGGTTGGACCCTGGAGATTGGTGCAGAAATTTTCAATTTCTTCGTTAAGTTGAGCTACCATTACCTGAAAAATTCCAGGGACGTGGAGGGAAGAGTGGATGTATGGGGCGAGGGGTGAGTCGAAGGAGCAAGGACAATAACTTTTCCACTGGGCGGCCGAGAGACATCGATCAGATGCGATCACGGTGGAATTAGCCGTCCCTTGCAGGACTCCAGAACTCCTTCTACCCCCTCTGTCCGGAACCACCCCTGTCTGTGTTTCTTCGACCTCGACAAAAGGTTC